AGGAAGGAAGGAAGGAAGGAAGGAAGGAAGGAAGGAAGGAAGGAAGGTAGGTTTAATACCTTTATTCCTTTAAATCTAGACAGTGCTCGAAGAGGTCTAAGGGCCCTCAATGTTCTTAGAGATTTCGTGGAGATATTACTATCACACTGTCTTTTCTTTGATGTACCTCTTGCTATAGGCAAAGATACCTGTGAAAACAGGAAAAGTACGATTGAACTGCAAAAGACAACCTTGTAATTCTGGTTTGCTTCCAGGAAAAACCATGCTAAGAAGTTTAACAAATATCAGTTGAAAGCCCTGACATATAGTTTCCTCTCCCTCACCCACACTTTTTTGTTCCCTCCATCTATTGTCTTCACTAGCTTAGAATCATAGAACATCGGAATTGGAAGGGACCTTGGAGGTCTTCTAGTCCAACAGGATATGCCATTTCAGACAAATGGTTGTCCAGTCTCTTTTCAAAAGCCTCCAGTGATGGAGCACCAACAACTTTTAAAGGCAAGCTGTTCCACTGGTTGATTATTCTCACTGTTACGAAATTTTTCCTTAGTTTTAGGCGGCTCCTCCCCTTGATTAGTTTCCATCTGTTGCTTCTTGTCTTGCTTTCTGGTGCTTTGGAAAATAAGTTGACCCCAGGGGTGGGATTCAAATTTTTAACAACCGGTTCTGTGGGCGTGGCTTAGGTGGTAGGTGTGGCTTGGTGGTCATGTGACTGGGTGGACATGGCTTGGTGGTCATATTATTGGCTGGGTGTGGTCAACTCAATATCACTCACATTGAGGTACGCATCTCCTTGCCTGGCCTCTCATGACTGTGGGGATGATGCAACAGTCGTAAGAGTGAAAAAGGGTCATAAGTCACGTTTTTCAGTGCCATTATAACTTTGAATGGCCACTCCACACAAGCAAAGTACCAGCAAAGGAGGGGAAAAAAACTCCAGAGAAGTTCCAGAGACAGGAAGTCTAGTCCTGCCAAGAATGTAATAAGGGTTAATGGAGAGGCAGTTTCTGTAAGCAACACCAGAATATTTCTTTCCTGCCTTCCTTACAGGATTAGGCAAGGAATTTCTTCTAACAACCAGTTCTCCAAACTGCTTAGAATGTTATCAACCGGTTCTAGCGAATAGGTGCGAACTGGTAGAATCCCACCCCTGGTTGACCCCCTCTTATTTGTGGCAGCCCCTCAAATATTGGAACACTGCTGTCATGTCATCCCTAGCCATTCTTTTTACTAGACTAGACACACCCAATTCATGCAGCCATTCTTCATATGTTTTAGCATCAAGGCCCCTAATCATCTTTATTGCTTTTCTTGGCACTTTTTCTAGAGTCTCAACATCTTTTTTACATCATGGCGACCAAAACTGGATGCAGTATTCCAAGTCTGGTCTTATCAAGGCCTTATAAAGCAGGACTAATATTTCATGTGATCTTGATTCTATCCCTGTTTATGAGGGAGGACTGTTGGCTTTTTTGGCTGCTGACGCAGACTGCTGGCTCATTTGTAAGTGATTGTCTACTAGGACTCCAAGATCCCTCTCACAGTTACTGTTCTTGAGCCAAGATTCTCCTAATCTATACTTGTACATTTGTTTTTGGTGGCTAAGTATAACACCTTACTTTTCTCTACACTGAACTTTACTTTGTTAGATATAGAAAATGAGAATGGTTTTTATCAGGCTCTCTATGTGAGAAACCATTTTGCCTATTTCCACATTGCACCAATGCACATAACAAGAAAATACAAGGTACTTACACATACAATAAAGAAATCAAGAATACACCAGCCATTAGTAAAATATTTTCTAAAGCCATAGGCCACCCATTTGAGAAGCATCTCCAAGAAAAAGATACAGAAAAAGAATACATCGGCATAGTCGAGAATTTTTTTTATTATCTTTCTTTTATTAAGGTAGATGTCTTCAAAGATCTGGAATTATAAATCTGGTGTTATTTAAACTATAATAAAATCAAATATTGTATCTATAGACCTTTCACATCCTGGACATAAACTTTTCTGATTCCTCCCCCTAGGAAGCCAGTATAGGACATTACATGCCAAGATAGCTAGACACAAATATTTTTCCCCCCCTCGTGTCATCCCTCTGCTAAATCTAATCCTTAAATTCTGCTCTATATTTACCCATGTAGTAGAGATGTATTACTATGATCTTTCTCACCTTTTCTACTACCTTCTCCTATTGGTATCTTATGATTATGTTACTTTGTTGTTTTTATCTACATTGAAAGCTTATGCATTGGAGACAAATTCCTTGTTTATCCAATCACACATAGCCAAATAAAGCCATTGTATCCTATCCTATCCTATCCTACCCTATCCTATGTTCTAGTCTAGTGTTGTCTACTTTAGTCTTCTGTTCTATTCTATTCTATTCTATTCTATTCTATTCTATTCTATTCTATTCTATTCTATTCTATTCTATTCTATTCCATTCCATTCCATTCCATTCCATTCCATTCCATTCCATTCTATTCTATTCTATTCTAAACAAATAATCCCCTCAACACTGTCCAACTATTACAAAGTCTGCACTACTATTACTGTTAACCTTCTCATCACTCCTTATCACCCATCCCCTCCCACTTGTGATTGTAGGACTGTAACTTTGTTGCTTGTATCCTTATCATTTATATTGACTGTTTCCTAGTATGATTTGATTGTTGATTGTACCCTATGACTATCATTAAGTGTTGTACATTATGATTCTTGATTCTTAACAAATGTACCTTTTCTTTATGTATACTGAGAGTATTTACACCAAGACAAATTCCTTGTGTGTCCAATCACACTTGGCCAATGAAGTATTCTATTCTATTCTATTCTATTCTATTCTATTCTATTCTATTCTATTCTATTCTATTCTATTCTATTCTCTATCTATTCCATTCCATAATCTAGTCTAGTATCTGTATTATTAGTAAGTATCTTGTTAACAGCAGAAGCTAAAGAAATGCAGAGTTGATTCAAAGTATAGTAAACTTACCAGAGCACCACTACTCAGTAATATCATGAATATAATAAAGGATTCAAACCAATTATGTTTTATAATTTTGTAGCAGGTTTTTCTAAATCTCCACCAAGTGTTGCCTGGAAATGCATCTGTATTCACTCTGCAGCATGGAAACAATTTCATGAAGACTGAAATAAAGAACAAAGAAATAATTAGTTCTTCAAAATGGACCACGTCCCAATCCCTTCCTCCCTCCCTCCCCCCCCCCCTCCCCCCCCCCCCTCTCTCTCTCTCTCTCTTTTTCTTTTTGCAATCATACGACTGCAATTCAGAATTTTGCAAAACTGCATCACACTTATGACCAGTTGCAGCATTCTGCAGTCACACAATCACAATTTGCAATTTTTTATCTGGCAATAAATACCATTGAGGAAGCAGGATTTGCTTGCAATTTTCATTTGCCCAACAACCATGCAATTCACTTAATGATTGCTGTAAAATTGTTATAAAATTAGGTGCAACTTGACTTACCACCACATCATCTTACAATGGAAATTCCAGTTCCAATTGTGGTTGTAAGTTGAGGACGACCTGTACGTATAACAACTGACAAGTAGTTAAGCAAAGATAACAATAAGGTAGTTGCAAGCGAATCCTGCTTTACCCAGAACAGCTTATAACCTTTAACATCATCAAACATCCCCATCTATCAATCCTAGGTCTTTGGAAAGGACTCAATAGGTGGATTAAGATGCCAAATCCAGTCTAAACATCTGGCTAACCGTGCAACCATATAATAATAATAATAATCCAGGCGAACCATAATATTGGAGCTAGCACATTTACTAAAAAGGATGGCTGCCACTGATCAACATTTCAACAGGTCTTTCTATCCGGACTAATTTCCTGCCAAGAAAGCTGGGCTTCACCTTGTGGGAAACAGTCCTGAGGTTCCTTTTTGACTTCAAGCACCTGATGGATAGGAGATCTCTGGTCCACTGTGCTGATCTCTGAACAGCTCGTATCGTAATCCGATCTCTGGATATGAGAAAAGAAAAACCAAAATCAGCACATGGGGGATTAAGGGCAGCTCTGCACATTATTCAGGAACATTCTATTCATGACAGGAAAAGAAAAAGGCTGAAACTCAACATACTTTTCACCAGAGCTTTGAGATCTCCAAGTGGTATGCAGAAAAACTCCTACGATACATAGGGAATTTATCCGTGGCTTAAGTTACACACATAATCGTAAGCCACAAGAAAAACATGATTTGAGGACTATCTGGACCTGGAGATTTTCTGCTTTGGTTCAGGATGACATTATACTACCCCAAACTGCTCATGTGCAAAAGATAGAATAACAGAGTTGGAAGGGACCTTGGAGGTCTTCTAGTCCAATCCCCTGCTCAAGCAGGAGACCCTATACCCAGGTGGCACGCGGAGCCATTTATGTCAGCATGCGAGCTGCAGGCAAACTTACCTCACTGTGCATGTGCATGCCTCACAGCTGATTTTCGGCCGTTTTGTCACTTCCTGTTTTTCTGAAAATACCAGAAGTGATGAAACGGGACTAGTTTTCGGCCTACAAAGCTTGCAGAAGCCTGCAGAAGCCTTTCTCAAGTCTTGGGAGGTTGAAAAAGGCCTCAAACCGGCCAAAAATCAGCTGTGAGGTGCAGTGCAGGTAAGGGGGTGTCGGGGGTGGGGGTGGGTGGGTGGGGATTATGCACGCATGCGTGGGGGGTGGGGGGTCCGTATTGACTTCTGGGTGCTGGCACGTGAGTGTGAGCATGCAAGCGCACGCACAATTTTTGGCACAGGAACCCAAAAAGGTTAGCCACCACTGCCCTATACCATTCCAGACAAATGGCGGCCCATTCTCTTCTTAAAAACCTCCAGTGATGGAGTGCCCACAACTTGTGGAGGCAAGCCACAGTATGTACATATGTACCCTGTTTCTCCAACAATACGGCCTCCCCCAATAGGAAGTCCCAGCATGTTTTATAGGCATGAAATGAAATTAAGCCCCTCCCCCCAAATTAAGGCCTATATTAAAACATGCGAAATGGGGGGCTTGCTGTTAGGAAATACTTTTGTTGCACACCCGGATATGGTGCTGCCTGCGTTGACCCCGATACGAAGTGCCCCAACGCCGAGGTCAACATCCAAGCCATCGCCGCCCGCCCGAAGATGCAAGGGGGCGGGAATTAAGTCACCCCCGAAAAGACGGTCTAGCCATTTTTTCGGGGCTCAAAAAAAAATAAGACCCAGCCTTATTATATGAGAAACACAGTACTTCCTATTTCCTAACTGCCACATTATGTCTTTATACTGTGTTTCATTGTAAGGTTTTCTAAAATCGAGTCATTGTTTATACATTTCATGGGCTGCCCTGAATCATTTGTCAACAGGTGGTTTCATAAGTCAATTAGATAACAAATAAACAAATGAATGAGTGAAATGTAAAAAGCTTTATTCAATGTTTTGATCGGCCTTATTGCTACGACAGTATGATGTGCTCTAAATGGAGTGTATTTTGAGTTTATACAATTAAGAGTTCCTACAGGATTAATTGTTCACTCAAATGACATACCTTTGAAGAACGGATGCTATTTGCTTGGATTTTAAATTCAAAAACTGCTTGCCCTGACAGAGGGTAGTAAAGTACAGTATAGCGGGGGTAAAGGGGACCACACAAAATCAGTTCTGTCTTTCCATGCTTATAAAAAAGGCCAGGGGTGGGATTCAATTTTTTTAACAACTGGATCTGTGGGTGTGGTTTAGGTGGTGGGTGTGGCTTGGTGGTAATGTGACTGGGTGGACATGGCTTGGTGGTCATGTTATTGGCCAACTCAATATCACTCACACTGAGGCACGCATCTCCTCGCCTGGCCTCTCATGACTGTGGGGATGCTGCAACAGTTGTAAATGTGAAAAAGGGTCATAAGTCAATTTTTTCAGTGCCATTGTAACTTTGAATGGCCACGCCACACAAGCAAAGTACCAGCAAAGGAGGGGGAAAAAACTCCAGAGAAGTTCCTGAGACAGGAAGTCTAGTTCTGCCAAGAATGTAATAAGGGTTAACGGAGAGGCAGTTTCTGTAAGCAACACCAGAATGTTTCCTTCATGCCTTCCTTACAGGATTAGGCCAGTAATTTCTTCTAACAACCGGTTCTCTGAACTGCTTAGAATGTTAAGAAGTGGTTCTAGTGAATAGGTTTGAACTGGTAGAATCCCACCCCTGAAAAGGGCCCACTGCATGCCAAGGGGATGAGACAAAAAAATAAATAAATTCTGGAACCTTTTTGTAAGAGTAACCTAAGAATGGTAACTTTACTGGTCAAATTTTAGAGAATGCAAAGTACAATTTTCTCAGCAAGTAATGAAGAAGCTGTGTTGACCATTTTTATTTGCTTTACCTTGGGTATATCCAAAGACCAAGTACTTGTAGTGTCAGAAACTTGAGAAGAGAGTCTTCGATTTTGGCCTTGGTGTATCTCTCTCCTCTTTCGCAGATTGTTCTCCTAGAAAAAGACAGCCAAGAAATAGTTTGCTATGCCAAAATGTTTTCTTCTTCAAGCTTTTCCATCACCAAAAAATTCCATATCAAACATAAAATGGTATTAACAACAGTAAAGAAATGACACAATCTTAACCATTTATTCTGAAATATTATCAATGTAATGAACACACAAGAGTAAATTATGTCATCCACATGCTTCGGGGCATGAAACATGCATTGCTTTGTATTGTATATGCATGTTAGAACTATATTTGGATTATTCCAAAAGTCTGTTGTCCAAATGTTTATTCCTCCAGAGGCTTGTAAATACAGTTAAATAAATATATAAAAATAAAGGAGTCCCATCAGATTTTATTTCGCTAGTTGTTGCTGACTTTAGAAGACAATGCTCATCTCTGTTTCAAGGCCGTTAAGCCAGTGCTGACAAAGACATGTCCATGATCATGTGGCCAGCATGATGTCATGGAACGCTGTTATCTTCCCACCGAAGTGGTACCTATTTATCTGCTCACATTTGCATGCTTTCAAACTGCTTGGTTGGCAGGAGTTCATCCCTCACGTGGCACTTGGGTCTCAAACCCGGGCTGCCAGCTTTCCAGCCCAGCTGAGACAACAGGCTGCCAGCTGACAAGCTCAGCTGAGACAATGGGCCACCTCAGATATACAGTAAAATGAGAGAAATCCAGCGCCTCATCTCTTCTCAGGATCTGCTATTCAACTTACATAGCGGTAATTCTCGACTTCAACCATTCTTTAGTGATCATTCCAAGTTACAACAGCACTGAAAAAGGGCCTTGCAAACAGTTCCCGTATTTATGACTGGCACAATACAGGTAGTCTTCGACTTACAACAGTTCATTTAGTGATCGTTTGAAGTTACAACGACATTGAAAAAAGGACTTATGACCAATTGTTCCACTTAAGACCGCTGTAGCATTCCCAAGGTCGTGTCATTTACATTCAGATGCTTGACAATTGACTCCCATTTATGATGGTTGCAGTGACCAGGAGTTTTGTGATTCCTCTTTTGCAAACTTCTGACAAGCAAAGTCAACAGGGAAGCCCAATTCACTTAGCAACCATTTTACTAATTACATTGCAGTGATTCACTTAACAAAAACAATGGGGCAAAACTCACTTAACAAATTTCTCACTTAACAATGTAAATTTTGGGCTCCATTGTGGTTCTAAGTTGAGGATTACCTGTATGTGCATAATCACATGATCAAAATTCAGTTCTTCAGCAACTGGAATGTATTTATGATGGTTGCAGCATCCTGGAGTCACGTGATCCCTATATACAACCTTCCCTGCCAGTTTCCAACAGGCAAAGTCAATGGGGGAAAGCCAGATTCACTTAACGACTGCATGATTCGCTGCAGTGATTTGCTTAACAGACAGGATCATAAGATCAGGCACGATTCTCTTAACAACTGCCCTGGCTAACAGCGGAAAACTCTGGTCCCAATTATGGTTGTAATTACAGAATTACAACCAGAATTACTACTTGTAGTCATGATTTTTCAGTTCTTTTATCCTGGCAAAGAGCTTTTATTACCAATTAAGCTGTTTAATCCCTTTGGATGCCACTGCTAATAGAAAATTCGGTTGGTACATGTCAAGAAAAAAGGAAGCCAATACAGAACCACTTAAAAACTAGAAAGAAATTTCCCCAGTTGTTTAATTATATTTTATAGGGAATCCCCTGCCCCCAAGCAAGTTAGGATAATTGTTTCCTACCAGGGTACTAGGGTCCATTTCCTCAATGCTTAATGTTTCCAGTTCAGCCAGGGGAATAGGGGGGATCTCTCTGTAATCTATCGTGAAATCTTCCTGCTTTCTATCCCACGGAAGTTTATCCCAGTTCCCGAAGGATTCCTTGCCAGCAAAGTTCTCTGACATCTCTTTCGTGGGTTCGGCATCACAGGATCTTTCAGTGACGGTGGTCTCACTCTTTTCCTTCGTGCCTGTTCTCCTCAGCTTCTTCAGGAAGACATGGCAACACCAATCCCACAGGAAAAGTCTGACAAATCGCAGCCCTCTCTGAATAAGTGCTAAAGCCTTTCCAGGGTCAGGTTTGCAGTTATCTTCCTCTGTTTCGGAACCACTGCTACTGAAGGAACTCAGCAGCAGAGCAATAAAGAGATTGAGGACCTGAGTGGGAGGGAAAAGCAAGATTTTTTTAAAAAAAAATTAGAAAAGTATCTATTTGAGAGTAAGATACAAGTAGGCCTCCACTTACAACCATTAATTTAGTGAGTACTTTACAATGGCACAGAAAAGGGGAGTTAGGGCCATTTTTCACACTTATGACTGTTGTGGAATCCCCATGGTTCACATGATCAAAAATCCCAATGTCCCACAGTCACATGATCCCATTTTGTGACCTTCCAACAAGCAACGTCGATGGAGAAGCCAGATTCATTTTACAACTGTGTTACTAACTGAGCAACTGCAGTGATTCTTTTAACTGGCAAGAAAGGTCGTAATGTGAGGCAAAACTCACCTAACAACTGTTTCACTTAGTAATGAAAATGTAGGGCTCAATTGTGATCGTAAGTCAAAGACTACCTGTGTTTATACTACAACCCTATCCATAAGGCCTGGGATAATAAGGCTTATTTCTGAATCGATACACATAGGATTACAACATCAAGCCGTTTTCTTCTGCAGTCTAAACACTATGCTCTGGAAGTGGCCCATGGAAACACCACTGCTCAAATACTGCCAATTCTTTAGTTTTGTTCCTGAAATAACTGGATAAATTTTTTTCACTTGCTTCTCCCTTCAACACAAAGTGAGGTAGTTAGGAAGCTCCAACCAAGTTCCATTTCTCTATTAGGAACTTAGAAGTTTCAATCCATGACACCCTTTCCATCCACAGAATCCTCAAGGCAGCTAACTATCAAAAGTCCAGTAAAAGCATTTGCTAAAATCATTACTAATTTTATGCTAAAGACCTGGCTGAAAAAGAAAGTCACGATTCCTTCTCTGAGGGTAGAAAGAGTGGGCATTCAGTACAAATTCTGAAAGATCAACACAGGAGATAGCAGGTGTTAATTCCAGCTTTTCTCTGGCTGTGCTTGAAACCAGTGAAAATAGTATGACTTGAACAATGAAAAAAAAATAATCCATGAAGCAATGAACAATGCATCACATTGTCTCCCACGGTCATTAATTTAGCCAATTCCTTCAATCTGGCAAAAGTTTTCTTCCAACTGAGTTTGACTCATGATGATTTCTATGAAGTGAATTTATTTTTTTTAGTAGCATTATGGATTATTTATTAAGTTCGCTAGAAATTCTGTTTATATAACTTTCAAGAACAAAATGCACAATCACCATGTGCTTTACTGCATGTTAGAAGGAAACATGAAACTTTCTATATAGAGAAAAGACATAGAGCATACCATAGATAAAACTAACAAACTTACAAACACTGCCATCTACTGGCTCCAATGCTGTAGTTGTTGCATGTAGTTATGACATGTCATGGGGTCATATGATCCCCATTTGTGACCTTCTGACAAGTCAATGGGGAAGCCAAATTTATTTTGCAAGTATGTTACTAACTGAACAGCTGCAGGGATTCACTTAACAATGGTGATAAGAAGGGTTGTAAAATAAAGCACAATTCACTTAATAACTATCTCACTTAGCAAGAGAAATTTTGGTCGCAACTGTAGCCACAAGTTGCACTGTACTGTACAACTGTATATACCAGTACTGTAAAAGCTTATCAACTCTGAGAAAGATGCAAGATTGAGGAAACAAATCTCCTTTTCACCTAAAATTTTTGTAAGCTACCCAGAGACACCTCTAAGCAAGATGTGGGGCATACAAGTCTAATAAATAAATAAATAAAAATTCACATTATGCATTATTCTACAAATTAGATGACAGATTTTGGAGGGGAAAGTTCCCTTCCTCATTTTGTTAACTAAGAAGGGCTCTAATTTAAATAGTTCTGACAAAAATATTTGGAAACTTACCACCAGGTTTCCTAAAACCAGGACCAGCATGAACAGAATTATGCACCGTCCTTCCCCAGCAACTTGCATGCACTCCCACATGGTAGAAATCCATTCTCCACACAGAATTCGGAATATAATAAGAAATGAATGTAAAAAATCCTTCATATGCCAGCGCAACTGGCATGTCTCAGAGCTGTTAGTGGAAGCACAATTTGGCATACTATCGTTTTTGCAGATGCTAGCATTAGCAGTGACAGCGCTGTAATAATTCCCAAAGGCTTGCTTGCCGACCACAGCAAAAATGAATACAGTGAATATCAGAACAAGGGTGAGGTTACCCAGAGGGCCTACTGATTTCAACATTATTTTCATAAGCTTATTTAAAGCTGGCCAAAATTTCGAAAGTTTGAAGATTCTCAACTGTTGGGGATAAGGCAGGGTTGGGGAGGAAAGGAAAGAACACAGAAATCCAGCAGTTAGATTTGAGTTTTATACTAGGTACACAGTTCATTCTACTGATAAAATAGGTATCAGACTATTCTTACCAAAAGGAAATTCAAAGTGCCCTTTTGTATAAACACCCACTTGTACAAGAGGATGACATTTACTTCTGAAAGTATATATGGTACATGTTTGACACTGATGATCCAGAGAAGATTACAAATGCTTCCTGATGCCAGGAAATGCTTTCTGAATCAACAGGTAAATACGCTGCTTCATATGCTGTTTCTCTGGTGACAAGCTATTCTAGCAGGCCTGCTCAGGAGAAGAGGGCATGATTGTTATTATTTTATATTATTTGTTCTCACCTTGTACTGTACCAAGACAACAACATAGAACATGCATCCAGCAAAAGCAGGGCAATTTAATTATTGCCAAAAATAAGGCACTTCATTACTCAAATTTAGCATTCTAATTCGTTTCCTTTAAAAAGTAGGAGTTCATTCACAGGATGGACATAAAAGACTTATACTTGACTGAATCAAAAGGGTTCTTTATTACCGTTCTGAAAATTGGTGCTCGCATGTTTAGCAACAGGTTTATTATGCCTACAATAACCACAGTGAAGTCAAACACATTCCAGGAGCACTGAAAATAGTAATACGGATCTAGGGCAATCATCTTGAGGACCATTTCAGCTGTAAAAATGGCAGTGAACACCTACAAGAAAATACATCAAAACTATGAAAGACTGATTGCTCCGGATTTATTACTGCAGAAGGCAAAGTCTATTTATTTATTTATTTATTATATTTGTATCCCTCCTTTATTACTTCATAAGTAAATCAAGATGGTGACTATCCCTAATACTCCTTCCTCCACTGATTTTCCCTATAACAAACTTGTGGGGTGAGTTGAACTGAGAGAGAGTGGCTGGCCCAAAGTCACCCAGATAGCTTTCATGCAGAAGGCAGGACTAGAACTCAGAGTCTCCTGGTAATTGACCCAAGCCAGCTTTCATGCCTATAGAAGAATATAATTGTTGTGCTATTTTCTTTTTTCATCTGATCGCCACTTCCAGGGGCACATAATGGGCAGGAAGGCATCAAAAAAAATCAAGACAGCAATTATTAAAACCATCTTAAGTTTTCTTGACTGCTCCTGAAGATGCCCTGGCCAATTCATTATGCAATTGACTGAGTTCAGAGATCTGAGTAGAAGAAAATGAATAATTTAATGCATAATTAATAGGTACATTTAGAGAACCGAGGTTTCAAAAAGAAACGTTTTCCCAGAAAACATAATTATTGGCTGGCATGCACCTTAATAAGAACTTGAATTCACTTACATTATTTCCTTTAGTAACCTGTTCTGGTGATAATGAAAGTTTTTCCAATGCCATCAGCATGGTATTTATTATAATGCACAGTGTAATAAATAGTTCCATTAAAGGATTTATCATTATTTTCTTCAATATATTCTTTATTTGCAACCACAGCGAACAGCACTGCCAAATCAGATGCTTTTTGATAGCTTCTTTCAGGCCGGGAGGTAATTCAAATTTGGATTCTTCCCATTCTGAAGACCAAGAGGAACATGATTATGAGTTATTATTTTAGAACTTAATACAGAATAACAATTTCTGTTTTAACTTTCCAGGTAATCACTGGCACTAATACACATGCTTAACCTGAAAGTGCATCTAAACTAACAAATTAGTATGATACATCCTAGATTTATAATCACTAAGTAGCTTTTCAATGTTAAAACAAATTCCAAAACAACAAAACTACTCTGTTTACTCTGTTGTTACATCCTCTTACCCCCCCTCCTTTAACCTCAAACTATCCACTATTGACCTCACCCCATTCCTAAGAGGTCTGTAAGGGGCGTGCATAAGTGCACCATCGTGCGCACTGTCCCTGTCCTATTGTCCCCAATTATTAGTTCCTATTTCCTGTATTCTTACTCATGTTTATACTTATACCTATTATCTTGTAAGCGATTGACAAATCAAATAAATGAATAAATAAAATATTTACGACCTGGTTTTCAAGTTCCAACATCTGCCCTGGAGTCATATGACACTTTGGGCACTCAGCTGCATATACAGGGTTTTGCAATTCGCCACGGTTATGTGTCCACAATTATGTCCGTGTTTACTTCCAGTTTCTTGTCAAGGCAACCCCATTGTAAGCAATGGGTTTATATAATGACAATAACGTTCACAACTGTTTGCTTAACAACCACCACAAAGAAGATTGTAAGGTCAGATCTGGTCACATGGACTGTTACTGTGGGTTCAATCCAAGTGCCACCTGTAGACTATAGACCAGTGATGGCAAACCTTTTAGTTGTTGCATGCCTGCATTCATAATGCAATGCACACGTGACCCCCCCTGAGCCGCTGCACATGTGCGCACGACCCTTCCACACTCCTGCGCATGCACATTTGGGTCCCCATATGCAACCCATGCCCCTGTGCATGCACACACATGACCACCTTGTGCACAACCTGTGCCCCTGCACATGCACGCATGTCTCGTGCATGCGCCCCACCCCCGTGCATGCACAGCAGATACCTGACAATCAGCTGGCTGGTGGGAGGTGCGCACATGAGCAGTGGAACTGAGCTGCGCCGACGGCTTCCTGAACACGTGCCATAGGTTCGCCATCATGGCTATAGACCATGTTCTTGACAGTTTCTCAACCTCTGGCCCTATTAAGAGGTATGCCTTCAAGTCCCAGAATTCCTCAGCCAGCTAGCCAGACAACCCTGGGAGTGTAAGTCCACATCTTTTAAGAGGGCCAAGGCTGAGAAACTGTCAGGCATATGGAATCAGAATCACACATACAGTGTCACTATTCCGACTGATGAACCCAACCAGAGCAAGCATGTCCAATGCATTCTAATCTCTGAATGTAAAACTTTATTGAATACATCATTTTGGCACTGATGAGGGCAAAACCATATCTAGCTAATTCCCGTGCAAACCCACATAATTAAAGGACAGAATTCTCCCTCCCCCTATTAGTGCAGTCACATTGTCCAATTGAGTGTCATTGTAGTGTTATGAGAAAAAGTCTTCGGTCTTGGTAAACACCTGCCTAAGTGTCCTTTGCTCTCATGGCTCGCCTTCTTAATGTTTGTCCATCTTACTCTTCCCTCCCCTTTGGTTCTGAGAAGCGATATGTTTGCAACAGCATAAATGCGCTTCAAACTTGACATAAAGTACTAGTTCAGAAGATTTATGGCTTATACACAAGAATCTAATCAACTATCAGCACTAAATTGGCACTAGGGAAAAGCCAATGAAATTCAAGAGGGAGGCTGGTCTTGGAGTGCTTGTGGCAACATAAGGATTCCAGGCTAATTCCTGTCTTGACTCCTCTCCAGGCTCTGCTTTGCCTTTTCCAACCAAATGTAAGATTCTTACCCATGCAACAAATTTAAACTTTATTGGACACTAACGAGATAACCAGGGGGGAAGGCCCAGGAGAAGGGAAAACTATCATTTTTGTGCAGGAATATTCAGAATTGGCTTTTCTTACACTGTAATGACTTAGTAAAAGTATTTCTTTCACTGCATATGGAGTTGAGAGTCTTTCTTTCCTCAGTGCCCAAGCTGGGACTGGACTAACAATAATTTTGTTTAGGGGAAATCAACAAGTTCCTTTTAAAGTACTGTAGAGAAGGGGTCCCCAATCTAATGCTCACACAGATCCTACTTGCACTAGCTACTGGCCCCATTTGCATCAGACGCACGCTCAAAGACCTATTTGCGTGTGCGCATGTGCATGTAAAGGTGCATGCCCCTCCCTAGGCCACCAACCCAGAAAGGTTGGAGTACTCTGCTGTAGAGGTATGTAGTACAGTGTTCTGACTCTAAGCTTAGGACCTGGAATAGCGCATTGATCTAAGACATGGGAGATTAAGGTCAGGCCAGAAAGGTGTTTTGTCACACATATTTCAATTTAGCATGCTAGTGGTCACCAATCTGCACACCTAAATCTGCTTGAAAAGCTTTATGGATGTGATAGTCGTAATAATTATTGCTTCAGTTAGAGACAATGTAGTTGTGTTTCTGTTTGAATCCTGGGCTTTTTTGGCTGAATTAGAGGGGAGGACCAGGAGGTGTTAACCAGAGTATGGTTAAAATAATCAAGGTTGTAATATACATGAAAACAGGTGGGGTTACAACAGCATCATTATAGTTGCCATCTTGGCTTTTTTGACCACACTCTGGGTCACAACCTTCTTAGTTTTGTAAATAATACAACACAACAGAAATTTAAATGAATTTTGTACCATGAAAACTTAATTGTTTGTAATATAATAATGGTACTGAAGTTGTTTTGTTGTAAAAAAAAATAGGAGTCGAATTTTCCAAATCATTGACATTTATCTGAAAACCTGCCAGTAGTGAAAGCCAAAAGCTCAGAAAGAAAACCAAACAAACATGTAGCATGGATAGAAGATAATCTTTGTAGCTCAGGGTTGAATTATTGGGGTCCTGACCTTGGTGCTTTTGAGCTAGGTTGTTATTGTTTTTTCTTGATGCTTCATTGCCAAATTAATTAAACATTGCCAAACTTTTCTTTCATACATTTCATTACTAGTTTGGTAATGAAAAGAAAAAAAACCCCAACCAAGTTCAGACACACCAAAGACCCCATAAAAATGTGGTGGAATTATTTTTACAGTTCATTATTAAATATGTGTGAACAAATATTTTGAAAGGACTGAAGGGGATTTCCACAATGGCCTTTGCTGTGACGCTAATACTTTTCGCTTTTTCATTTTCAACAGACAAGGAAGGGGAAGGGGAAGGAAAAAAGAAGCTGAATTATTTTCACTTTTTACCAAGCAATTAAAATAATTTCTGCCCATTATATTTTTGAAAATTATTTTGTTATCTTTTCACTCACCCATAGTTTTGCTAATCACATTGGCAGCACTTGTTAATTTCTGCCTTTGAAATGGGTCATCAAGCATTGTAAGAGGTAGTTGATAGGACATCACCATCTCCTTCTGTGGAAGAAAAAAAAACCCCCCACTTTACTGAATAAAGTGAATGTTTGAACTATTAATGTACCCTTTTATTGAAACATCTCTCATTGAGTGAGTACAGAAGAATAATTTCCTGGAAAAGATCATAGGTTAAGATCCTCTTGAATATGATACAGCTTATTCAAAGTAGTTGATAAACATATGCTTAGTGGTATATTAATTGTCTGTACTTGTTAGAGGTATCACATTATTCCAGGCATTTTGTTGTGCCGAACTAAAGGCCTCACTGTCAACCGTAGTCCTTGACTTACAACCGTTTGTTTAGTAATTGTTTGAGTTAAAACAGCACTGAAGAAAGTGACTTATTACCATTTTTCACACTTATGACTATTGCAGCATCTCCATGATCATGTGATCAAAATGAAGATGCTTGGCAACTGGCAAGGATATGATCCGAGATCATATGATCATCTTTTGTGACCTTCTAACAAGGAAAGCCAATGGGAAAGCCAGATTCACTTAACAACTGTGTTACTACATTAATAACCGCAGTGATTCACCTAACAACTGTGGCAAGGAAAGTGGTAAAACGGGGCAAAAGTCACAACATCTCGTTTAGCAACAGAAATTTTGATTGTGGTGATAAGATGAGGACTACCTGCATTCTGAAAATGAGAAAGAGGGCTAAAAGATCTTCCACAATATTCTTTATATTTTCCAGTTACTTAAAAATCAGCTTGACCTATGATTGGAGAAAGTCATACATCTTTCAGTGCTGACTTCTAGCTGCCCAGAGAAAAACTAAGAATTAGAATTAAGGAGAAATTTTCTGACAATAACAATTAATCAGCGGTGCAGTTTGCCTCCAGGAGCTGTGGGTGCTCCCTCACTTGAAGTTTTCCAGAAGAGGTTGGACTGTCATTTGTCTGAAATTTATAGAGTTTCCTGCCTGAGTACAGGGTTGGACTGAGACCTCCAAGGACCCTTACAACTCTTTTTCTTTTGTTTTGAGAATCTCTTCCTCTGAGATATTGCAGATCTTAAAGCAACAAAAATCACCTCAACCCCATTTTAAACAAAAGGGCAAGAAAAATTTCTAGCACTTGCAGCCTATTCTGTTTAAAAGAATGACTGCCGTGAACGGAACTTGCAAAGTCATCGTTCCTCTTTCCTGTATGGAGATGGGGGGGGGGGGAATAGCTTGCCAATTTGTTCTATTGCCATGTTTATTTTTTTTCCCCAAAGACCTTAAGCATTTTTGGTGATCAGAGCCAGGGAAGAGAAACACATTGTTTAGGATAGCTCTAAGCATTCAGCAGGGATAGGATCTGGGGGAGTAACCATTGCTATGACCTCCACAATCCAGGCAGAATAAAGCACAAAATCATAGCGTTGGA